CCCCAGCGTCTGCCTCCCGGGCAGCAACCCTCCAGCCGAAGAGGCTGCCTGCTGCCACCAAGGAACTCTGCAGCCCAAGGAAGGCACTGCTGTTTCCTCAGCATGCAAACAGTCCCCACAAAGGAGGGTGTTCTCCCACCATAAGAGCAAAGCTCTTGGGAATCATGGGAGTGACTCAGGTTAGACCCTCCTGTAGAGGGTCCAGTTCTGCATGACTGTAATATATTTGGGGAAGAGCTGAGATCTGCTGACATCCTCTGAAGGCAGCCGGACACATTATGCCTTGCAGAATAGGCTCTTAAGTGCTTGCTGTCCTGTCTCCCTGCTCTATTTGTAGTATGATTCAGAGGCTGAAAATATGGTCTGGCTTTGCTTTGGAACCCCTGAATCACTCGAGCCTGGTAGATACTTTGGTGCTGAAGCTGTACATCGCTTTGTTCTTCAATGGTTATTATTCCCAGGAAATATCTTTGCTCCAGGGATAATCCTGAGTTTCCTGGGACATTCAAGGCAATAAATCTTCCCTCCTTTAAGCCCTGAGCAGGCATGTACAGTAATCCTAGGTCATACTGCTGAGGTTAATTAATGAACTGGAGAGCTGGGCTTGCTCTACCCTAAACAGAGCACCGATATGAGGTGTTTAGTATTCTAGTTAATATTTTTTTTAATAGAAAGTAAGCACATTACGCCTTGCAGAATAGGCTCTTAAGTGCTTGCTGTCCTGTCTCCCTGCTCTATTTGTAGTATGATTCAGAGGCTGAAAATATGGTCTGGCTTTGCTTTGGAACCCCTGAATCACTCGAGCCTGGTAGATACTTTGGTGCTGAAGCTGTACATCGCTTTGTTCTTCAATGGTTATTATTCCCAGGAAATATCTTTGCTCCAGGGATAATCCTGAGTTTCCTGGGACATTCAAGGCAATAAATCTTCCCTCCTTTAAGCCCTGAGCAGGCATGTACAGTAATCCTAGGTCATACTGCTGAGGTTAATTAATGAACTGGAGAGCTGGGCTTGCTCTACCCTAAACAGAGCACCGATATGAGGTGTTTAGTATTCTAGTTAATATTTTTTTTAATTAAGAAAGTAAGCCCAGTGATGGCTTAGCAAGGTAATAGCAAGCTATTAATCCATAACTTGTACATCAAACATTAATTCTAGCTTAAGTCAACAGCTGTTCCCTAAAGCTCTTCAGCGTTTAGGTGGTGACGGCCTGTCCTTTAGACAAACAACATAGTCACAAATAACTCTTGCCAGGGAGGTCCAGCACTGGGTGGGTATGTTTGGAAGATGGCTTCATCGCTTACTATCTGAAAAAGTCCTTCCTGAGGAGGGACATGGGCCCTGAGTGCAAGCGACAGCAAAGCCGCTACCTGAAAACCTGAAAACCAAGGCAGAGGACCTTGCACCCAAATACCGTGAGCAAGACGGAAGCCTCAAAGTGCACTACTGGATTTACAGGGAGGCGGCACCTTCCATGGGCCATTAGATGTTAAAAGACACAGTGGGAAGGCTGGCGCATTGGCAAAGCCATTAAACCCTGCAGTTTATTGAGCAGATGGCAAGAAAGACTCAGAGGCTGATACAGGAAATATCTATTTAGCAGAGCTGTGATAGCTAGACATATACAGCCTGGGAGACCACCAGCTTTTCTAGGTAATACCCTTTCTCCCTCCCTCCCTTGCTCCCCATATTGCTTCTGGCTAAGATGCAACACCTGAAGGTACATTCTGCTTAATGTGCTGACATGTGTCTTCTTTTGCTTGTTTATTATTTTAAGAATATCAGTGATTTCCACTGGTTTCCGCTTGTCCCACATTGGGAAATCCTAGCCCTCAGTGGGCTAGCTCCCAATGCGAGGGATGTCAGATGAGGAAAGCACCCATGCAGAGCCAACAGGAACAGAGAGCAGCGCCCAAACAGCCGGCAGTGCCTGGCAGAGCTACCTCTTCCCCTCCACAGGGCCTGTCCCGGCTCACTCACTGCCTGCAGGAGGTTCGAGACTCTGGCCCTAGCTATTCAGCTGCAGTCAGACAAAACTACACTGCTTCCCTTGTAGCAATTCACTGAGAAACCATAAATTGAGAAGTGCCCATCTTATGTCTGAGGCATGCCCCAGATTGCAAAGGCAGTGTTAAAAATACCCGCCTGAGGAGTGTCAGGAAAAAGAACATGGGGAACAAAGGAAAACCCTGGACTTCTGTCCAGTTTATGCAATTTTCCAGCTGCCTTTCCTTTGGGGCTTCTCACTTTACAGTGATTTCTGATATTTAGGATTGAATGTAAACGGTTTTCTGCACAGCCCAGCTACTCTGCTGCTTGAACCTTGCAATGGTCATAGGAAGGATGGTGATAGCCCATTTAGTCATCCCAGTATCACCAAGAAAGTCTCTCCAGGGACACCCGGTGAAGCTTGGTCACTGGGAAGCTGAAGCAAGTTATCTACCCTCTTTTAATCTTCACCTGCCCAGAGGATGCCTTAACAGGGCAACAGCAACAAATAAGCTTGTACTTCACATGATATCAAATACAATTTTGTCCAAAACCCTAATAATTTTTCCCTCTCATCCATTACAGTCCCATGCTCTTCCTACTCGTCCATTTTGAGAACTATATTTAAAGTAACTAAAGGAAGGTTCTGGATTGATGCCACTGGAACATTCACCAGTAAGTCAGCTTTCCTCTGTCATCAAGTCAGGCTGCTGGGTTGTGCTTTACACCAACACTCAGGAGACCTTGGGGGGCTGCTAAGGCCTGTGAAAGGCGCTTAATGCAAGCAAATTCATATATACTATACAACAGGGAACTTATGGGAAGTTTCCACAGAGGTCTGCATTTCCAGCAGAAAAATCTCAGAGATCTATTAATTGGCCGTGCTGAAAAACCCTGGCACAGAGTTTAAGGCAGCAATGTGATTTAGCTGCCAGTGCTTTGTGCTAATACAAATCCCCATCTAGGACTTGAATTCTGAGCTATAGATTATGGAAACGGCTCCAGGGGACACAGCCTGTCTGCGAGAGCCACTCACTCTGCAAATGTAATTGCTCCAAATATAAGCCCCCCATGCAGAGCTACATAGCTGTGAGAAACCTTGGATGAGACTCTCAAATATCGCATTGGTAAAGTTCAGTCAGTAATGAGGATGGTTAGATTTCTATGTACCCTCTATTCTAAGAAAAAACAGAATTTTTCCTCTTACATCAGGAGGTGGTTTGTTTGTGCTGGAATGAGATTTCATTTGAAGGGGATGTTCGCGCTACTGGTAATCTATCTGGAACAAAGGAAATGAGAGGCCTCAGTCCCCTTCTCCTGAAAAATCATTCTGAAAAGTGCATTATTTCCTAAATGATTCAGTTGCTTCAAGGTAACATATAATGACTTTATAATGGCACAGTGATTGTGGCCTATTTCTTCATGGAAAGAAAGGGTAACTAGGTCACGGAGAAACAGAAATGAAAAGGCATTCGAGGCACAAAATCAGAAAAATATTTCCAAGCTGCCTCAGAGGGAGAGATTTCTCTCTGCCTTTTGTTTACAGCCAAGGTTTTCAGCACTCCTACCCCAAAGCACCAGGGTAGCAGGAAGGGTGGGGTTTCGCTTCTTTACCCTGGGGAATGTCTTTGGCTTGGACCTCAGTTCAAAAAAAGCCCACTCTCATTTTGTGGGCCAAGCATGTTGCTGTGCCTAGAATGGGACCCAGGGGAGCACCATTTGCTGCCACCATTTCCTTTTCACAGCACTGCCGTGACGGAGACAGGAGCTGACCTTGTCCGCCCCAATGTCTCAGCGAGGCGCAGGGCCAGCTGAGGCTTTCTGTCTCCTTCACATCGGCATGGTCAGCACAAAGGGGCTGTGCTCACCTGGGTGTTGTGGCTCCCATTCTCACTGGTGTCTCCTTAGTCTTAATCCATAAATAGATAAGATTGCTTCTTGTATTCTTTTGGAACATATTCAACAGCAAGAAATAACACCTGCAGCATTAATCTCCCTCCAGAGACTCACTAACTGGAGAGCTTCCCTGAGTTCCCGTACAGGTGCATCTGTGCACGCATATACTACATTTTCCCAAAGAAGGTGGCACTTCTGATCCTTGTTCCTATTTATTTCAGTGGTCAAACTCTCTAACTCCAGTGAGAACAAGATCAGTCCCCTGAGATATACTCCAAGTGAAGAAAATAAGAGCCTGAAGCTCATACAGGCACGTACTTCCTTGGATGTGCTGCCAATACTAACTGCCAAAGTCTTATCAAACCCTTCTTGGCAAATAAGTCCTGACATGCCGAAGCTGCTATTAGGATCATTATATCTAGATGCACAGACTCCACGAGGGACAGGGTAGCGCCCACAAGGGGATGTTTTGGAATTTAAAAAATGAAGTAGCATTTTCAATTACTTTTGCCTTTTCACACAATTTTTAATTAAGTGTGCAAATACTGGGTCACATTTTCTGCCCATCACATTGGCAGCTGCAACAGATACTCATGTCACTCTGTTTTTTCTTCTGCATTTAGGACTTTCTGGAATACAGTAACAGGGAGAAATTATGCTGTTTTTACCACCACACATCACTGCCTCCCTGGGAATAGCTGGGGAGTAATGCAGCTAAATCTGTCCGAGCTGCCACTTATTTCCATACCCTTTCCAGGCACAGCAACACAGTTTAACAAACCCGCTGGTGGCCCCGGAGGGCAATGAGGTGACTGATCTCTCAGAAAGGGAACTGGCTACACATGGCTGGATGGAGACGCTGGGAGGTTTAACAAGGCCTGGAGGCTGATTCCTGTGAATCAGACATGGGGAGGAAAGCGTGTGGCAACTCTAGATGAAGACTGAGACTGTGCTGAAGGACTGAGAAATGACAGAAAAGGAGCGGGAAGGGAACTACTCCCTTCGGAGGTAAGACACCAGGGGACATGCTGAGCAGAAAGCTCAAATGAGAGGCAGAACAGAAGCCCCTTCATAAGTCAGGCTGCAGTGTAAGAGGAATCCTCTTCCCTGCTCACCTTGGCTTTGTTGTCCATGGTAACAGCCAGCTGCATCCTCTTCCCCATCCTGAATGTGAACATATGATCTGCTTCCTCCTCCTCCTCCTCTTCCTCACTGCCAATGCCAAACCCAGGGCTCGTAGGACAGGGGCTCCCCCATTTCTCGCTCACCACCCTTTTGTCCTGGAAAACGAATCACTTCCGTTAGCAAATCCAGGCCCCTCGGCCCACCAATGCGATTCCCTTCCCCAAACACACCTGCACGCGAGCAGGGAGGCCAGCTACAGAAAAGGCAGGCCTTGCCCCGAGGAAGCTTTCTGTGCCCAGCACAGTGCCATGACATTCCTAGGGAACAAGGGGCTCGTTGTCTGCTCAGCAGCAAAACCCACAATCACCGCGGGTCTGGAAAATCCTTTGCACTTACAAATCTGACATTTCAGACTAAAATGCCAGAGTTATAGGAAACAAATGTCACCCTCATCTCTTTCTGCAGCACTCTGAGTTACATCGGGAAAGCCTAAGTCCTGATGGAGATGGCCTTGGAAGCCAAGTGGATGGCTCCTGAGGGTGGTGCTCACCATCGAGAGGGCTGGGCTATCTTGTCCATAGTGTTCAGTCTGGGTAATTGCATCTTTCAGGTCCTGTATGAGAGAAAAATGTGTGCAACAGCGCACCTCCAGAGAAAAGCAAGGGCCGGGGCATGGTTGAGAAGTGAGCAATGCACTAGCCTGGATCTAACAACCCAGGAGTGCCGACTGCACGGAAGGAGGGTGGGCTGGCTCAGCAAGCTCTGCGCTCGCTCTGGCAGAGGACTTCACCCAGGGGTTACAGCAGGACTGGCCGGGTGGTTTACCAAGTCCCACACTGCCAGGAGGGGTGGACAAGGCTTGTCAGACACAGATTTGGTCCAGTTAGGAAGGAAGCCTGGGACTTGCAGCATTTTCCCCAGTTGTGGGAAGCCCCAAAGCAACCAAGATCTGCTCACTCACAAAGCCTAAGGAGACCAGGACTTTGCCCAGCCTACAGGCATCCTCAGAGGCATTCCTGATGCCTCCAATGACACACATATACCTGATACATTCCGCCTATGTATTTGCAGCAATGTGGACACCTGGGACCCATCCAGGGCTAAGCGTGCCTGTTCACACATTCAATCATTTGCCTGTTAATTCTGTGTGCTTGGGTATAGGTGCCTGCACATGGCTGGAAATTTATGTGGATCAGCTAAAATCACTTTGAGCACACATCTCTGCGGAGTTTTTACATCCTTTTGCGAGGGCTTAGGAGCTACGTCCTATGCCTGAAAAAGCTTTGCTGTGGAGGCTACCTCTTTCGGAAATGTCACTTTGCTGAGGCAGGACTGGAGTGAGAGCTGGCCAGTGGTGAAGGAGAGGCAGCACTTACGTTGTGAGCCTTGGTGATGGTAATAGTGAGTCCATCCTGCTTGGGTCTCCTGGAGGTAACAGCCATTCCCTCCTGCTCAGCTCGCTTTTTGTCCTCTTCTATTTCCTGAAACATATATATATCCTTATCATCAGCCTCTACCTGGATGTCTACAGATGTCATCCATTTTCCTGTTTAGGATTCCTCCTAAATGGACCCACCTTCACCTCTAAGAGGGAATGGACCAACTTGTGTCCCATCTGTGTGCCCTTGGAAGGGGTCACAGGCAGCTGTGACTTGCATTACCCGTCCCTGTGCCACAGGCACCTTAGTAAACCTCTTGTTGACCCAGGGTGCCCCACTGTGGTCTCAGCACATGCAATGGGAAGCAAGCACAGAGTACCGGGGTCCCTTCCTGACAGGCAGGGAAGATGATCAGTTTGAGGTTCATGAAAGACTGGGTATAGCACATGTGGAGAGGCTGGAAGACACACCAGACCTGCAGAAAGGGAGGGCTGTGCACAGGAGCCACAGTCCCTGTGCCAGCCTGGGGCCAGGGCATCATCTGCGGCCAAGGGAAGGTGGCTGGGATCTGGCTATCTACTAGGCAGCTGCAGTGGTGGCAGGTGGGTAGCATTTCATATGGGGTAAGTGTTCCTCTCCCCCAGCTGCTTATGGCATTCAACCTTTCCCATAGCTTTCCACTATGTACCATTTTTTGCTGCCACCAGAAAAGGTCCAAAATGGCTCCTATGGTATCAAAGGAAATGTATTCTAAGCAAGACCCAGCCCAGAGCACCACTCAGTCTCTCAGCTCTGGATCCAAGACATGAAGCGTGTGCTGGGTTTTCGGGTTTTCAGCATGGCTCTTTGTCAAACTTGAGACTGCCCACCCAGCTGGCAAATGTTAAAGAGCCCCTAAAGCCAAGTGGCCTTGGGCACAGGCAGAATATCCCAGACAAGCCAACGGGGACCCTTCTGCCAGGAGTACCCTCAGACTGTCCTACTCTGTACTGCTGTATGCAGACACTCATGGAGAAGGGTAAACAAATCCACAGAGCTCCAGGTTACCACAATGTCACCCAAACCAGCTCATACAAGCCAGGCTGAATATCTCCTGCAGGCCACTGGGTAGACTCTCTTGGCCAAGGCAGGATCAAAAAACCAGGGGTGTAGCTGGAGTACTTCCTCCTAATTCAGAGGGTAAGGCTGCAGTAACCAGCAGGCTGCTAAAACCTTGATTTGCCTTCATCTTCCTTTTTTCATGGAAAATCTTTTGGACACCTCTGTGCTCCACGGAAACACTGGGACCTGCCAGGGAAGAGCTTCAACCCATACCACTGCCCTGGTAGGGAAGATAAACTTATCAAATGTCTTGAGGATGCAACCCCCTATGCGTCCAAGAGGATAAGCATGAATCACTGGGAAGGACGGATGGGGAAAAAGTCAGGGGAATATGAGGTGAAGGGATGGGAAAGGTGTGGTGCAGACAGAGGAAGATGGTAGGCTGAGAGGAGATGCTGCAGCAGCAAGGCAAGCGTCAGCGAGCCTGCTTTCCAATCCAATTCAGGAGCTGTAGCTAAAGGCAGAGCTTTGCCCACCTGCTCCAAATGCTTTCCAATGTGACAATGTTATCTATATAACAAAGTCACTCCGACACTGCTGACCATTTTCTTTACACTATGAATTGAGGACTCCAAAACAGAGCTGGGGAAGGTCAGAACCTGCAGACTCACCTGGTATCTTCGTATGAGCGCTTCATTCTTTTTCCGCAAAGCCAAGATTTTCTTATCGAGTTCAACATCTTTCTGCTCTTTCTTCCTTAACACTGCATCATCCACAGCAGCATCCTGAAAACAGAAGGAGCAAAGCTCTTCTCAGTCATCACACCAACAGGACGAAATCTGCTCCTTCTGTTTGGACAGGGTGTGAAGTGTAAGTCCTTCCCCACCATTTCTCCCCTTGGTCCTCTGTTAAAAAGTATATTGTATCTTGTAAATGGAGTTTCGCCTGACAGAATTGACCTTTTCTTTTCTTACAATTTTTGTTCAGCAATGAGGTAGTTAGAGCAAAAAGCTGATGTCCCACTTTGATGGCTGTCGGTAGGCTCCAGAGTTAACACACCGCTTAGCTGCATGCAGTAAATGACACCTCTCCCTACTGTTGGTTCAGGTGTTCTCAGGCACATCAGTTCCCCTCCATTTACATTCAGAGAGCACTTTGGTTACCACGGGGGATAACAAATCGGAGTTTTTGAATTCTAGTGACAGTAGCGTCTAGCAAAAATTAATGCCGATAAGTATCAACTCACTGCAGCAAGCTGATCCATATCATCTCGATTCTGCCTGGTGTTTGCATGAAGAGCAAGGTGGCAAGGCTGAGATCTCCAAGGCACTACAGGTTTATTTTTAAGCAGTGTTTTTGTGCTCTCCTTATCAGCATGGCATCTGCATGCTGCAGAGATCTCATATTCCCTCTCCTTTGCTCACACAGAGCTCTGGGGAGGATGAAGTGAGACTGAGGAGGGGAGGAAAGGAACCCCAAATCTCTGAGCAGGCATTGCACGCTTGGATACCTATTTTGCTGACATCGCAACTCTACCCACCAACAGGCTACTGCCGCCTGCCGCCTTTGCTATTTGGCCCTGTGCAGTAAATCTGCTGCAGGAGCACTGCAGCAAATCCAGCTGCCATGCATGACACATATTGCCCACAGCCCTGGGAAAGTTTGGAGGAATCAAGGAGCAAATGTAACGAAACCATCACCCATCTCGCTACAACTAGATGTTGCTCCTGTGGGTGACTCTCAGGGTTGTGTCCCTATGAAGCGGGAACAGCCAGCACGTGGCGAAAAGGCATATTGACGGTCCCCAAGGGCTGGCAAAGAGGTTTGTGTGTGCCAACGTCCTCTGGGGCCAGCATTGCCTCCCCGTGGCTCCGGCACTGCACATGACCATCCTGGCCCCATCCTCACCCCGGACCTGTCAAGGTCTCTGGGGCTAGCATCGGACCCTGCTCCAGGGCACCTCAGCCCCCAGGCATACCCTGGGGGCAGGGTGAGGGACCCACCCAGGGGAAAGCTGCACCCCACCTTCAGTCCCAGCCTCAGAAGCTTTCCCAGCCCCAGCCCGGTGCTAACCTGATGGCCGCTACTAGCCTGGTCCTAAAACCACCCCAGTTGCATGGGTATACATACTGGGCATGACTGGTGAAGTTTCGGTAGCGGGGAGGAGGCTGCAGGGTGCCCTGTGAGGGAGGAGGCCATGGACTGCCCCCAGCCGGTCGCAGCTGGTTCCAGCCGGCTCCCCCACAGGCCTCCCGCCAAAACTCAGCCAATCAGGGGAGTCCGTGAGGCCTCTGAGCCAATCAGGGGAGTCCGTGGCGCCCCTGAGCCACCAGAGGAGCGAGGCGCCTCTGCACCCTTCCGGGGAGGCAATGGCGCCTCTGTGGAAACGTGTTTAAGAGAAAAGGGGGAAAGAGGCCAGAGCAGAAGGAGGTCAAGAAGAAAAAGGCCCTGCTGGGAGGAGGAGGAGAGTGGTCCGGAGTGGGGACCCTTGAGGGGTCCCCCAGCGCGGGAGCCACCCGGTGCGAACCCCTATCGCCGGCGCTGCCCTCGCCTCGCCAAAGGGACAGGGTGCCCCATGCTGAGGGGACGGAGAACAAAAAAATGAGGGGGGAGTGGTGCCGGGAGGGAAGCAGGGGTGTTTTTCCTAAGAGTGTGTTTGTTTGGTTTTATTTTTCTTTAAAATCAGAATCAGTTGTTAATAGATGGTTAATTGGCAAATAAAAGTGATTAAAATTCCCCGAAACAGTAAAGAGTTTTTGCTCGCAATGCATGAGCAAGGCATGTTTTTTGCCCATCCCTGTCAGCTTCCTATCAAATTCCTCATAAAAACACCAAGACCCTCAAGACAACTGTTGCTTTCCCCATTTTCACGGGAGCGAATCACCGCTGCATCCCTGCGAGTGACTATTTCTGCTGCCCTCGCTTCTGCAGGGCTGACGGCTCCTGGCTGTGCCCATCCCAAGGGCAAAATCCCCAGAAGCATCCTCCACTGCAGGCTCTGTAGCATTCAAGGCTGGGAAGAGCTTCTGCACAGGCAGGAGGGGTTTTTCCTTCATTAATCATGACATAGCAGGTGTGACCTCCTTAGGGAAGGGTACGTCAGGGGCCAGCCACAGCAGCTGGGGACACGGGATCTGGGTCTGACGCCCGCTGTGCCCTGGGTGCCTTCCTGCCGGCGGTGAGTCAGGCAGCCAGGCTCCCCAGGGTCCAGCCTCAAAAGGTAGCCCACGGGCTGGCAAAGCCCTTCTCCTGGGAGGGGAGGGTTTCTCCTGGAGACTTCAGATGCCTTTTGCCTGGTCATAATTAGGTCACCAGAGGTCCGGAGGAGGGGATGGAGGGGTGCTGTCTAACGCAGCCCTTCTTAAACTGAGCAAACATGCAGTGAGAAGCCCAATGCTTGAAGGCAAACAGTAGAAGCACAGATGCTATAGCCCAGGGGAGGGAAAGCCTTTGACTCTGCTCCATGTTCCCGGCTATATCTGTGAACTTTATCAAGTGACGTACAGGGGCTCCAGCCTCCTGAGGATGTATGTGCTTATAGTGTGATGATGCATTGAATGAGGCAGAATTAAGGTGCTGTGAACCTTACCCTTGGTTTCTTGTGTGTCATGTAGCATTTCACCAGGATGGGAATATCCTGCCCATTTGAAAGCACAGGATTTTAGATGAGCTGTGGGAATTACCTCCTTAACACGGGAAGGTTTTCAGCTACCTGGGAGATGGACACCAAGTAAGAATGTGGGCACATTTGATCAGCTGGTCCTTCAGAAAATAATTCTAGGTAGCGTGTGGGAATTCAGCCAGGGGTTAGCATCATTGCTCTTCCAAAAATGTCACAGGCCTCCTGGGAACCAGGGCTGCAAATCATCCCCTGTGTGCATGGCCAGCACTCGCCTTCAAAGGAAGGGATCCAGCTGCTGAATCACCGTACATCCCTGCAACGCTAGGTTTTCCTTTCAGGAGCTTTACATGAAAAAACCCAAAGCTAACTACGTTTCAGCTCTGATCAAGCAGATCTGTGCTTGATCTGCAAAGAACAGGGCCACAGATGGGGGGAGAAGTCTGCCTAGGTAATGTTCTTTGGAGAAAAGGGACTAAAGGTTGAAAATGTGATACTATCACACAGGAGGTGTGCTGGATGTCAGAAACCAGAGAGGGGAAAGGCAGGAGAACCGGTTTGCTAAAGTAGGCCTCAGATCCTGCACAAGCACATCTTCACTCGTATCCCCACAGAGGGGTATTTTATCAGTGCTGATTTTAACAGGCCTTGCCGAGGGCAGCTCTGCCAGGATACAGGCACGTATTTTGTTCAGGTGGAACAACGGGGACATTTAAACTGCCTCCACACATTCTCCTGCTGGACAATGGGATTTTGTCAAGGTCTGCAGGAGAATGAAACACGCTTTTCCATTGCCATCAGTCAACTGGGTACACGACAGGTGAGTATATTGTATATGTGGGTGGATACACTTTCATGGCCCTTTTGCAAGGCTAATTAAAGCTGAATTCAGTGTTTACCTGAACAGAAGCTATTCTGCGAGCGCTAAATTGGCAGGTTCGCTGTTTGCCGAGTGCTGGGGTGTTGGCTGCTTGAGGGTGGGATCAAAGTGGTGCATGCCCTCAAACACACCCCTTTCATCTTCAAATTCCTTTGAAGGAGGACTGACAGAGCTGCCGGCTAATGAAGAATTTAAAAATTTCTGCAGAGATTGTATTTGTGCTCTTCTCTTTTCAAAGGCAAAGGATGGAAAAGACCTGTCAGGCCATTCTCCCTCTCCGTGCGAGACTGCACATTTGTCAGCATTTTGTCTACGTTGCAACACAGCTAGTGCCGGGGGGAGGGGGGTCTTCCCATTTCCAGCTGGAAACGAGTCACTGGAAGGAAAGTTTTGCTGGTATTCAGCACTTCTCCTCCCTTTTATTAATGAAGCCATTAACGTATTTCTCTCTGCATGATCTGTTTCAGCAAGTGCTGGGGAGCTGCAGACGAGAGGTGGTCCCTTGCCCGCACACCCCGGGGCCACAGAGCAGCCCCGCTGCGCGCAGAAGCGCCGAGCAGCGTTTCGAGCCCACGCACCGGCTCGCAGGGGCTCACCCATTGTACAGTTAAGCCAAGTCAGCGTTTGCTCGTCAGCCGCTGCTCCGAGCCAGCCGATAACAGGGGGACGTGCCCTCTCCTCCGCTTCTGGAACGAAACCGCCGCCCCAGCCCATGCTGAAGCTGATGCTCAGGATGAAAAGTGGCTACACCGTGCCCTCCCCAGAGCAAAGCTCTTCCGGGGAGCCAAGGTGCCCGTATGTCACAGCGACAGGAGAATTATAAATGGCTTTGGCAGAACAAATGTGCAATGGCTTTGAATCAGAAAGCAGCCAAGCCCGATGCCTCCTAGATAGCAAGGCAGAGCGATGAAGCTGCAGAACGAGAGGCCTCTTTCTATCGCAAATAAAAATGTCACAAAAGGACAAATGAAAAGCGAGCGGCTTCGTGCTTCAATTAAATGATGACATCTCGTTCTGTCATACCCCCCACTCCTAAGTGGCACACACACTTGCTACGCAGCTCATCGGGGGCTGGAGGGATGCCTCGCTCCAGACTGCCTCTGCGTGCAGTGTTTTCCCGCATACTTCTACAATCGCCTGCTTCTACAGCGAGAGACCTCAGAGGCAGCAGGAAAAAGCGAGAAAGACAGAAGGTGGGGGGGAGGGAAGAGGAGAGAGGAGCGGGGCCCTTAGCTAACACTCTTCTGCGTAAGCAAATGCATCCGCTCTTTTTAAGAAATATCCTTCGGCTTGACAGCTGCAGCTGAAACCCTTGCCGGGATAGGCAACCTCCAGCACTCCCTGCCCTCCCCTCCCCCCCCCGATGCGGCTTGTTTGCTCCCGGTTCCTGCTTGCAGCCAGGCGCGGAAAAAAAAA